TTTTTTAGGATTTGCTGTTCTGCCCTGATTTCACAGTTACAACAAATAAGAAGTCTGGACCGGTAAGTTGACTGGAGGATGTTTTAAGGTGACCGAAATGAACCAATGTTTTCTGGTTGGAAAAAGTAGCAGAGAATTTTGACATTAGAGACAATTTTTGAAGCTCACTATTATTTTTTTTAGCAGTGTTTATTATAATGTCTCAAACACCTACAGTCAAACTCGATAGTCTAAAGTTGTGATTTTTGTTGCTATGATCTAAGTTTGACATGGGCAGATACTAAAGAATATGATTTTGTTCACAATCAGGACAAACATGAAGATCTTCAGAGTATTGACAGTTGTGAGTTCATCTGGGAGGCTGGTGTGGGGTTTGCTCATTCTCCCCCTCATGTGCCAAATCAAGACTTGAACCGAACTGAGATCCTCAAACTCATCCTCACATGCTTCAGTCAGAGCATTTATCAGCCTTCTTCAGGTAAGTAAAAAAAACATATGTTTGACCTCTCTTTATAATGAACATGTTTGTAGATATGTATAATGTAGTGCAGTGGTTCTTCAGGTAAGAAATATAACTTTATGAATTACTTGAATTGATATCACTAGTTTTTTTGTGAGCTTTATTTCCTAAATGTATTGACTATGTTGGTATGTTATTGGTACACTTATTTTTTCTCTGTTTATTTATTCCCAGTCAAAGTGTATATATTTATTGCCAGTTTTATTTCTTCCATTTCAGATGGCACAGAGTCTCCAAATCGCTGGATCGCAGTGTTCACCTCAGCTGACAATCGCCATGCCTTACCTCTTTTCACGTCCTTGCTTAACATTGTCTGCGGTTATGATCCAGTTGGATTTGGTGTCCCCTATAACCACTTGCTGTTCTCTGACACCCGAGAACCACTTGTGGAGGTGGCCCTACAGATTCTCATTACAACTTTAGATCATGATGTAACTGCTGCTTTGTCGGAGATGGAGGAGGTAGGAGCAGAATTATCAAAGAAATATTTTTGTTTCCAGTGCCTATAGAGTATTGATAATAAAATAAGAGATTTCAAAATAGCCATATTTAATGTTTGCATCATCATCCCCCTGATTTTGATAATTCTGTTTGATAGGCAACGGTCCCAGATAATCTCTTCATTAATTACCTGAGTCGCATTCATCGTGAGGAAGATTTCTCATTTGTCCTGCGTGGTTTCACAAGGCTCCTGAACAACCCGCTTCAGCAAACATATCTTCCACATTCCACAAAGAAAGTCAACTTCCACCAAGAGCTGCTGGTTTTCTTCTGGAAGTTCTGTGATTATAATAAGGTAAATTAGTCCTTAAACATATTATAACAATCCCTATGATTTTTGCATAACTTATTTGTAGATGAAATGATATTAGGTTTGAAAAGAACTGTTCCTTGAATGTCTGATGGTTGACACAAAGAGCATCGTTATAAAAATATAATTGTATTTTCTTTTTTCTCAGAAATTCCTTTTCTACGTACTAAAAAGCAGTGATGTCCTAGATATTCTGGTTCCCATACTATATCACCTCAATGATGCACGAGCAGACCAGTGTAAGTAAACTTTCTTACCCTATTTTGTTTGTGATAGACCTATGGAAGCATTGATTAAAGCAACATTGAAAAAAGAATTACTTAAATGTTTTAATATTTGTCAGTGTTCATTAATATTTCATAAAAAATTTTTATTGCATTATTATACTATATGTACACAGCATTAGTAGAGAATATTACTCAAATCAGATTTCTAAATCATATACATGATTATTAGATATTACTAGCAATCAGTATGGAAGTTAAAACATTGCCGGCCTGAATATGTAATGTCCTGTGTAGTTTTGTCTTTTGAAAAATGTTAACAGTAAATGGCTCCACAAGTGTTCAGCCACCAGGGAGCCAGTTAGAAGGCCCACATGACCTCAATTGATTTCTTATTTCCTTGAGTTTTTCAGAATAAGGTGTTTTTTCTAATGCTGTCATTATTGTTACTAATATTATGATAATCATGATATTATTAACAATGCCAGTAAAGCAAAAAAAAAGAACATTTCTGGAAATCAAAGAAACAGATGAGATAGGTTGGACTATTAATTGATTCTTTGGTGATTAAGTACTTGTAGAGCCATTTATGAGCAAAGAATTAATAATCTAAACTTGCAATGGGCAAGGCATGTACATACAAGCGTGCCGTGATGGCAATGAGTTAATTCTTCTATTACTGACAGAAGGATTTTATTCTTGATATGATTGTAGAACTGAAACTACATACTGTATATGATTTCTAACCTACAGCTAGAGTGGGCCTGATGCACATTGGTGTATTTATTCTCCTCCTGCTTAGTGGAGAAAGAAACTTTGGTGTTCGCCTTAACAAACCTTATACAGCATCTATGCCCATGGATATACCAGTGTTTACAGGTAGGTGTTCATTTTACTGAGGTAAATGGAAGTTGTAGAGGACATCTTGGTAACCATTACTTCTCTTTTGAGTTAATGGTTTTTGATAAGAATGAATACTATCAAGCCTACTGTGATTATGACATGTTTATAGATGGAGATCTAGTTTTGCCCCTGACTTATGTTGATTTTAATATTACTAGGCTTAATGATGAATTTTAGATAATTAATGCAGACTTTTGATTGTTGAAACTGATGTACTTTTGATCTAGTCTTGAAACTTAGATATTCTCAACAGGTACTCATGCAGACCTTATGATCATCGTCTTTCACAAGATTATAACGACTGGCCATCAACGTCTCCAGCCCCTCTTTGACTGTCTTCTGACCATCCTAGTTAATGGTGAGTGAATCAGTCAGACATAAGGAGAAGACCTAAACCCAGACTAATACCTATATCCAAATGTACAGTCACACTCTTACATATAATCATACAAAGGCCATTATCAAGTTTTGATAGGTGGGGGTATAGGAAGAAATGATAAAGTAATTGTTTCTTACAGTTTAATTAAAATGTGTATGTAGCCTCTCCTTTTTCTTATGATTATACAAAAAATGTTGTAGTAAGTTGTAAATAGATCATAGAATGTATATACTGTGTTTACAAAGACTTTGTAAACACATAACCAACCTAGATTTGCTTCTCAGGGTTAAGTTTACCAACAGAGTGAAACAAAGTGGGCAAAGCCTCTTCTGAATGAAGTATAGTATGATGATTACTAGAAAGGCTCTACAAAATTATTTCATGCATATGAAACGAAGATTGTGTGTCATATTTATTTCTTCATTTGTGAAGTTGCTTTAAATAGTGTGTGATTTAACTCGGTATTCACTTTGCATTTTGCAGTGTCACCATACATCAAGACAATGTCAATGGTGGCTGCCAATAAGTTACTGCATCTCCTGGAGGCTTTTTCTACCCCTTGGTTCCTCTTTTCTGCACCACATCATCACCATCTGGTCTTCTTCCTTCTGGAAACATTCAACAACATTATCCAGTATCAGTTTGATGGTAAGTAATTCAGTTCAGATTATGACATGGAGATAGTTCCCTTAAGGACCTTGGAATGTCATAACTTGTTCTATTTTAGGAGCTAGTTAAATGGTAATGAAACTCGACTGCAAATATAGGAAACTTTTCATTTTTTCTTGAATTTCAAGTATTTTATCACCATTCTTATTTTTGTTTTTCTGTCGTATTATTTTCGTCGAACCAGAGCTTGAAACCTGAAGATATTACCTCTCACATAAATAGAAATGGGAAACTTTGACCAAATATGTGAAAAATTGTGGTAGTATTTATTCTCATGTCTGTATCACACACATGGTTAGGTAAAGTGTAAAAAAATAGAGGGTTTTACTTTCAAATAACTTACATGTAAAGAAATAAAATTTATATTTATTATGCAATGTAAAAACATATTTTTGAAAGTGCAGGTATAAATGGATAAAAGATGAAGAAGAAGTAGTGTTTGCATAGCTTAGGGGATGAGATGGTGGGTATTGCTGCAGGATTGTTCAAGGCTGTGCAAGATTTATAACACGTACTGAACATGTCCCCTTCACAGTTTTTTACAGCTTGCATATGATTGTCAGGGATAAGGTTGAATATATAGAATATGATGAGTGTCAGTCAATGTTCATAGGACAGTATGGGATAATACTTGTAAATTTACTCTTAACAGGTAACAGCAACCTGGTCTACACAATCATTAGGAAACGGCAGGTATTCCACTCCCTAGCAAACCTTCCAACGGACTGTGGTAGCATTAACAAATCCCTCAATAAGCGAGGGAAGAGACCACTTGTCCGACAGCACTCCTCAAAGTCCCATCATGGCAGCCAGACTATGGAAGGAGCACAGCCTGCACAGCCAGCTCAGCCTGGTACCAAGACTGCCACCCTTGCAGCTATGCCAGGTGAGAGAGACTAGTGTCTGCTGGGTATGTGTGTATACCCTGTGTCTCTTCTTGCATGGGTTAGATTAAAGGTTAAAGTAGAGAGATCATTCATGTCTATATCTACATATGGCTTTATCTATCTATATCTATATCATTATCCATATGTATCTATATATATGTATCTGACTATCTATTAATCAGTTTCTGTCTGCCTGTCTATCTATCTATCTATCTGTCCTTCTCTCTATCTGTCTGTCTTTCTTTCTATCTATCTATCTATCTCTGTCTGTCTGTCTTTCTACCTACCTCTCTATTTATCTGTATATCTATCTTTCAATTTATATATAGATATGTATTGCATCAAATGTTAACACTGTTTAATTGTATAAAGGTAATCTTAATGGGGTTTAATCTACCCCATGAAGGAAAACTTGTGGGAAAATATTGTTGTGCATTATTTTATATAAGAAAAAGAAATGGCATGAGCTTTCACCTTTCTTCTGTGATTTACAACTAGAACTTGTTGTAATTGATATTGTAAAAACTTGAGATGATAATGATAATTCTTTTTTTTAAGAAGTAAACAGTTTTTAAACTTTCATTATTTCAAAACAAAATATGATGCAGTTTCAGAGACAAAGATTGACATCTTTGTAGTCCAAAGCACAATCATCAGGGAAGTCATTTTTGCATTTTATGATAAAAATATCATCTTTATACCTACTGAAGATTTTCCTATGTGGCTTTGATGTCTATAGTGAATTTCAAATGAAGAATATTGCCAAAATATGAAAAGATAACAAACAGAAAGAAAGATATCCATTAATTGTTCACTGTGCACAGGCCCCAACCTCTCTGATCTGGAAATCAGTCATCACACTTTGCATAATGCTAAAAACTAGAAACATGATGTCACTTTTATAAAATATTCTCTAATGCCCCAAGGTGAGGCAAGTGCAATTTCACACACACTTCCCTTCTTGACACATTTCACTGAGCATTGGTGCTACTGAGTTACCCAGGCTAGTGTGACTCATGGCAGTGGAATGACAACTGAAATGTTTTGCTGAGGCTGATTACACCTCAGGTTTCCCTATCAGTGTTCATATTTGTGTACTTATATTGAACTGAGGGTGCACTATAACCTAAAGGCTCACTTTTTTCTTCCAGGATTAGAGAAAATGACAGAGAAAGAATCAGCTCACCCAACCACACAGCAGCTAAACGAACTCACAACCTCGGCCACTGTTAATGGGGATTTGGTAGGGCCCGTGTCACCCACATCTCTTGTAGCTCCGGCAGCGATCGGAGAAACCATTCCCCAGGATGTGAGTGATACAACTTCTTCCATTCCAAAAGGCACAAGTATTCAGCCACCAACAGAAGACCACAACTTGCCAGCTGTAGATGAGCTCAAGATTTCTGACAAGGTAATGTAAAATGATACTGCTTATTGTTATTTGTTTATAGAACAGTAAAAGAAAAAAATGTAGGATAGTATGAAAAAATGGGAGATTGACAAACTTAGGATCATATGATCACATTACAGAATGCCCAGCCTCCAAGAATAAATTACTTAGTGTAAAAGTGGTAGCATTTCTAGTTTTGATATGCCAGAATTTATCTCAAAGAAAAGGAAAGAAAAGAAGGGAAAAAGTTACCATCAACTTTTAGTATTGCAGTCTACTAAATGAGAATAATTGATGTTTTTTCCTCATGGAGATCAAATAATTGTGCAAGATATGCAGCTGCAAGTGATCTTGAATGCTATGCTTTTGTACTTGCTGTCATATTTTTTTGTATTCCATTTCTATTTGGCAGCTTTTGCCTAGCTATCAGACTCTCAAGAAGTGGGTGGTATTGTTTACAGCTTTGGGTATTTTAGATTTGGTAGAGAAAGAAGGAAATTGTGTGTGGTGGATATACTACATCATAACTATTTATGTTTGTCTGTTGGATTTTACAGGCTATGATTAAAAAAAAAAGATAACTAATTGTGTAAAGCAATTGATGATACAGTACATGCCCCTTTGGTATTGATATATATGAACAATTTACTTTAGAAATAGCCAGTTAGTAACCAGAACAGCATTCAGTTTCTTAGTTAGTTGCAGTAACTTTTATGTAGGGAGTAGGCAGTCTTTGTGATATCTCCTTAACCCATCCATGGCAGACAAGTGCCACTTTGTCTTTGCATCCCTCACAGGTTTATATATTTCGCCAAATTCAAAACTTGGAAATGTTTTCTTTTTTTCCTTTTAAAAATAGTAATAATAAAAAAAAATTGAAAGTGTTGACTGTTAGTTGATGTTATGGAATACTATAACAATACAAAAGGGCACAAGTGTGTGGTTTTACTCAGTGTGGTGAAGACACACTAAAGCTCACTCAGGCAAGGATGGCTGGTAAAAAGCAAGGGATGTCATATTGAATACTTGAGTATTCAAGGAATTGTGATTTATGCTTACAATAATTTTTCACAGTGTTTTGTTAAATGTTTTGAAATATACCAATTTAATATGCATATTATGTACAATATTTATTGACATACATTTCAACATTACACTTCAAGTGGTTCCTCTGAAAGAAGCCTAGAATATGTCAATTGTATTGTAGCTATTTTGTCATTCTGATTGATTATACACAGCCAAAATGACAGTTCATACACGTGGTGCAACCATATCTTCACATCTTTGAACTTTTATATATTAACCATATTTGACTCCACACACACTTCACACTCCTTTCAAGTCCCATATCATCACTCCTCTAACCATCCTTACCTTGAAGTTGCTATGTTATACATGACTTCCCATCCCCAAACATCCTGAGCTCTACATGTTACGGTTATGCAGGAGGAGAGTGAGGTGGAAGGGGAGGAGAGTCTGTGCAGATGGCCGGGGGAGGTTGAGGAGATGGAAGGGGACAATAAAACTCTCCTCCTGACCGATCTCCAGCCGGCTCCCCTCAGCCTCACGACATCTATGGTGGGCAACATCGTATGTTACGGAGCATGTGCGAGGCATCCCTTTGCATCCGTACCCTGAATAGCATTTCTTGATTACTGTCTTAGTGTTGTATTTTGGCTGACAGAGCTTTAGATATTTTTTTTAGTACTATTTATTTACTGTATTTATTTGTTTATTTACTTATTGACATGTGTATTTATCTTTCAAATTTCTTAAAGCTGTATTAGTAGGGGATGATTTCACTGCATTTCTATGAATAATTGTCAATTTACATGGCTTAAAGTTTATGGCTTATTCTTAATCCTTAAATGGTGGGATGTGTGATATTGTGTCTTTATGGGGAAGAGCTGGGGGCATAATATTACATCCAGATCTTGGGCCAAGTGGAATTTTGCCTGCCTGAGAGGGCTGCCTTGGTGCTCTTTACCCATCTTTTATGGGCTTTGAAACAATATGGAAAAAACAGTGAAGTGAATAGGTGAAAAGTAGTATAAAAGTGGATAATGTTTTAGTTTTGATAAATTGAATGTTTATTTTTTCATGGATGTTCTTTAATTAATTTTATTATTTTTTCTTCTTTATTTTAACTTACTGTATTTTTTTAGTATACTGGTAATATCACTGCATGTACAGTATTGGACTGAAGCTCAATTGTAATAATTGAACATCAAACTACTAATATGCCTTGAATTTATTATATTAACATGTATAGTGCACCCATAGAAATAGAACCATGTTGTGCTGAATGTATTTATGATTGCATAAATTTAACAAAAGTAGGTAATATGCTTTGTTGAAAAAAAAAATCTGAGCCACTATTGATGTATTTATATGTATAGCAATCACCTACATTCATTAGTTAAATTAAGATAGAAAATGAAAAGGTAAGACGAGCATATTTTCATGATATCTTAATTTTTTCCTTCAAGTCAAGGAGATTTAAGTCCATTCATGGAGTGTGTGCTATATATAAGAAGGTATAAGAAGAAGAAAATAGAACAGTATATGGGAATTTCTTTTCCATTTGGAAGAACTAGAATGGAAACATTGTATAATAATAAGTGATTAAGGAATTTAGTGTAGGATATGAATACCCTAAAAATAAAAGTGAAGTGACGTATACTACAAGCAACATTGTTAGTGTTTCATGGAAATTGACCTGAGGTTATAAAGCAGAAATTCTAAATGCAAAGAAAGAGAATGGATTTTATTATTTTACATTGTGTATTTGTTATTTCTGTATGAAAATTGTAATGCACGCAGTACATTGCAGTACATTTTTTATCCCTTTTTAAAGTTATTACATATTTCAGTGCCCTGTAAACCTAACAAACCTTACAATACCTTTCACTGCATGTTTCCTGCAGAGAAACTGATAGCATGTATGTTTTCACAAACCAGAGTTTTATGAAAAGAGTTCCTTCACATTGTTTCTGTCTTTTCTTTTATAAGAGGAATGAGTTCAGCATATTTTTTTCCAATTCTCTTTCAGAAAGAGAGAGAAAAAATGCACTTTTTCAATATTATTATTTATCATTTTTTCAGCCCAACCGACCTGAGAGTCCTGCACTATCACTGAAGTCAGCTCTGTCTGACTCTTCTGGTCCCAGCACCATGTCAGTGCCACAATCAGAATCTGCAGGCTCAGCATTAGGAGGCTCGGCACAGCAATGGCAGCCCAGCTCTGGCTGGGTGCTCAGCTGGAAGAATAAGCTCCCCCTGCAGACCATTATGCGGTTGCTGCAAGTGCTTGTTCCACAAGTGGAGAAGATCTGCATTGATAAGTGTGTTTTGTTTTTGAAGCTACTGGTTGTTTGAAATTTTTTCTTTTTCTTCTTTGTTTCTTTTTAGCTTATACAAGTTTTGTATCAGTGTGTCATAGGGTAATGCCTGTCTATCCTCATTTTTATTTATCTCTCTATCTGTTCATATATATATTTACTTGTGTATGTATTTATGTTTGAATGGTTCTGAGTTTATTAAATTGTAAGAATAAATTCTGTGTTTTCTAGGGGATTAACAGACGAAAGTGAGATCCTGCGTTTCCTGCAGCACGGAACTCTAGTAGGACTGCTGCCAGTTCCTCATCCCATTTTGATTCGCAAATACCAGGCCAATGCTGGTACTGCTACCTGGTTCCGTACTTACATGTGGGGCATCATTTATCTAAGGTAAAGGATCATCTTATTGTTTTTTCATGGCAAACTATCCCAAAGTTTTCAGTTTGTTGTGAATTATATTTCAGTCTTACAGCCATTGAAAGCTGTCCCTTCAAGAGAACTAAGGTGGCAGTAATGAAAATAGGCTATTTTTATTTCTTTACTCTGTTTGTCTCTCCAATTTCATTAGGTGAAATTGATTGTTTTTTTTTTTTTTTTTTTACTTTGTTATAGATAAATACTTTCTGTTGGATGACTTGATGTAATTCTGATTGTAAAAGATGTGGGAATTATTCAAATTCAGCATTTGTATGGAAAAGAAGATATGAGAGTGCATCAGCTGCATTACTCTACCATACTTGGTCCAGTACTTTGACCATTCAACAGTGTAAGCAAATATCTTGTGGTTAAACCAAATTGTTCTGCCTACTGTTTGCGCCATTGAACAGGGCAGTAGTTCTGATGTCGATAGCAGCCAAATGGGAGTAAATTTGCACG